GATTTTAAGAGCACGGACAATAATTAATATTCATGGAACAGTTTAACTACCTTTGTTCTTAAACAAGTAAAAGAAAAGTCATCCCACCCCTTTCAAACGTTTGAAAAATAATATTAAAAAAAAACAATTGACATTTATTTGTCAAAAAATTAACGTCAGTGACATCAAAATCATGACAATTTGAGATAAGGATTTTGTTTGGGATGGTTTTTTACTGCTTTTTAAAGCAGCATTCTAGTAAAAAAAATTAAGGCCTTGTTTGGGACGGCTTTTTTATTGCTTCTTAAAGTAGATTTTTAGTACAATTAATAAAAATTTTATTCTAAAAAGTTGTTTTAAGAAGTAGTAAGAAAGCCGTCCCAAACGAAACCTAAATCTTGTACTAAAAAGCTGTTCTAAAAAGCAGTAAGAAAGACATCTCAAACGAAGCCTAAATATTCAAGATAAAAAATGTTTTGATGAAATAAGTAGACAACATCATTAAATAAACTATTTAAAAAGTGACCTCAAAAATTTTTATTAGGACATCCTAATGTCATTAAATTATATTAGGATTTAGGACGAGCTTTATATTTATTAGATTTGCACTGAGTTTAGTGCTACATATGATATTAAAAAGCTACACTAATTTTAGCGTAAATTCAACGATTAGGATGAGATTTATATTTATTAAATTTATAATGAGATTAGTTTTACTTTTGAATTATGATATTAAAAAGTTACACCAATTTTAACCTAAATTCAATGGAAATAAAGCTTAAGGGTGTAAGTGAGCAGAGTCGGCTCAAACTCAACTCATTAACGAGCTCATGAGAAGACTTTGAGCCTATAACCGAGCTCATATATCATACAAGCTTGAGCTTGAGGCTCAACTCGTAAGCTCGTTCGAGCCGCTTCTTTAAATTAAAATACATTTATAATATAATATATTATATATACTAAATATAAAAAAATAAAAATATATATACTAAATAATTTTTAATTATTTAACGAGTCAAATTAGAGCTTTTTTAATAAGTCGACTCGAATATGACCCACCAACCAAAATAAACTAAATAGAAATTGATAAAAATAAAATTTCATTTAAAATTTTTAAAAATAGCTTTCAAATCTTTTATCAGCCAAAGCTATTTAACAAAAAAAGTGTTTGTCTAAATAAAAATACAATAATTTTCTTGTATTTTTGAACTAAATTTATTTATTTTAGATTTTTTAGAAGATAAATTGGGAGAATTTAATCATAATTATTAAAAATTAATATTTAATTTGTTCAAAATTTTAACTCCTAGTGTGAGCAAATCTCCCGAGCTTCATTTGAGGCAGTTTTTCATCACCATTTTTTCCTTACTTTAAAAAAATATTTGCACTAAAACCTACTTTAATAAACAGTAAGAAAAATATGTCAAACTAAAACCTACTTTAATAAAGTGATTGAATTTGTCAATTTAATTTTTATACGTTGCAATTATGTTATTTTACAAATGGTTAAACATAAAATGTGATTTTAAGAGCATTGACCATAATTAACATTCATGGAACAATTTAACCATCTTTGCTCTTCAACAAGTAAAAGAAAAGTCATCCCACCCCTTCCAAAGGTTTGAAAATTATAATTTAGAAAAACAATTGCAATTTATTTGTCAAAAAATTACAGTCAATGACATCAAAACCATGACTATTTGAGATTAAAGCTTCATTTGGGAACACTTTTTATTGCTGCGTAGAAAGCTGTTTTAAGCCGTCCCAAATGAAGCCTAAAAATTCTAGACCAAAAAAGTTTTGATGAAATAAGAAGACAACATCATTAAGGCTTCGTTTGGGACGGTTTTTTTATTGCTTTCTAAAATGGAGTTTTAGTACAAAAATAAAAAAATTTGTACTAAAATTCCGTTTTAGAAAACAGTAAAAAAACCGTCCCAAACGAAGCCTAAATAAACTAATAAAGAAGTGACAACAAAAAATTTCATTAGGATATCCTAATGTAAGTAAATTATATTAGGATGAGCTTTATTTTTATTAGATTTGCACTGAGATTAGTGCTACGTATGATATTAAAAAGCTACATCAATTTTAGCTTAAACTCAACAATTAGGGTGAACTTTATATTTATTAGATTTATATTGAGATTAGTGCTACTTATGATATTAAAAAGCTACACTAATTTTAATGTAAATTCAATGGATATAAAGCTTAAGGGTGTAAGCGAGCTGAGCCGGCTCAAGCTCGACTCATCAACAAGCTCATGAGTCGAGCTTGAGCCTATAGTCGAGCTCATATATTAATTATACAAGCTTGAGCTTGAGGCTTAACTCGTAAGTTCGTCGAGCCGCTTCTTTAAATTAAAACATATTTAAAATCTAACTTTAAAATAATATAATAAAATATAAACACTAAATATTTTTTAATTATTTTACAGTCAAGCTCGAGCTTTTTTAATGAGCTCGATTAAGCGGATATTCGACTCGTTCACACCGAATTGAAGCTCATTCTAATACAAATTATACCATAATATCATTGCATATTTTTTTGAGCAGATTCATTTCCATTTACTTTTACTAATTTGTTGTCTTACAAACTATAATCATAAATAAAGCAAGGATAGAAAAATGCCACTTACCAACAAAAAAAATAGATAAATATAAATAGCCTTTATATTAATTAATCATTATTTTAATTTTCATTTTTAAGTCAAAATTGGCTCCCAAAAATAGAAGAATTACGACACTATATAATTAAAAAAAAAGTTCATCTGTCAAAAATTTGTATGAACCAAATGATGTTGTGTCTATTGACTTAACTTTATGACCAATTAAATTCAATGAAAAATTATTATTAATTCAGTTAGTGTTAATCTTAGTATTGTGAGGGACAAATCTCAAAGGAGATCCAATGGCCATGGATAAGCTTTTGCAATCATTTCAATGCTATTGTTGGATAATTTTATTTGGGAAAGATATTAGGATCCTTTTTCTATTAAGCCTTAAGAAAATAGAAGAAAAGAAAGAAAATAGTCTCAAATATTCTCTTTGATTGATTTGATCTATATAAGATCTTATTGAACCCGTTTAGGATAGTGAAAGGACTAATAAAACTGAGTTTAAAGAGGATGAGACTCTTAAGTGATTTTAGAAAAGAGTTTACGAAAGAGGTCGAAGGGATAGTTTAAGCGAAAGTTTAATTATATATCCTAGATTGTATGTGCTAGTATGTGACCTATGGCAATTTTATTTCTAGGTAAAGGCCAAAATTGACGTTATAAATATTGGATGCAAATATATCAGTGGATGATATATGACCCTACTATCATCCTAACTCTGAGAATATGACTAAGGAACTTGTGTGAGAATGGATAGAAGAATCCTCTTCTTCTTTATTTATAGGACTACGAGGGCTACATTAGAGAATAAATTCATAAAGAAATAAAAAATACAATATTTTACAAACCTCTAATGTGGACTACCTTAGGTGCGTGTGGCCCTCTGATTGGCGGGAAGGATTGTATGACCCTTGATGGTCTAACTAGGGGCATGTTCGATAGTGTTGAGTATATATTGTCAAGTTAATTAATATCGAGATGTATTGAGCGAGTATTTAGTTGGAGGAACCTTTGACTAATTAAGTTTGTCGGTGAATTGTGCTGGAGCCATGAATCACCTAGGAAAAGAAGGTGATAAACTGGTGTTGTAAGCAAGGCGAGTTCCATAGTCACATGATCATGGTAGGATGAGCTAAGCATCACTAGAGTAGGCGTTGTCCTGTAGCTAAGGAGATTAGTGTGAATGATGGCATTATGTTATGAATGATGTCAAGCATTTTCTATAGATAATTGGCTGACACAAGTGGTGATTGATGTGGTTGTATGAACCCTTGATTTTCCCCCGTGGGGGGCAACTTCCCTTTGTGTTTCTAGTAAAGTGTTGTTTTGTGGGACCCACTAGATGAGAGTCCCTTTGTGGCAACCCTTTGACATCCTATTAGGTATCTGAAAAGTGCATATGAGAGCATACAATAAAATTGATTTCATACATGACATAAAAAGTATACACTTCAATTCCATGAACAAGACGTTGATTTCAACATGCTCAAACTCTATAATAAACCATCAAATCAAGTGACTTCTCTCTCTCAACTCTTTCCCTTCTCATAAAGAAAACAATACTTTTCATCCATAATTAGTAAAATAGCTAATGCAAACCTTATAAAACTATATAGAAAACCTCCAAAAAGATCTATTCAAAAAATGATTTAAATATAACATTCTCTTTAGATTTGTTCATGGATAAAAGATTTTTACTCCCATAAAATATTTGATTTAATTTGAATATCCATAAAAACACCTTTTTATACGATTGATTTTAAATTTAAATCTAAGTTAATGTTTTTATATTTGAGTTATAATTAAATTTTATTGAAAAGTATATCATTGGAAGATGGATACCTATTTAAAGTTATTTTAAGGCCATTAGGTCATCTCCAACCGAGAACTCTATTTTTCACGCCAAAATACCGCAAAAAACAAAAATGGCGTGGTGCTGTTCCAATCCAACGCCATTTTTTTGCTTCTGCGCCAAGGTAACGACCCTTCTCCTTTCCCGCATTTTTCCGGTTGACAGAGAAAAATGGCGTGGGTGAACAGTGCAACGCCAATATTTAGGGTTAAACGCCAATATTGGCGTTGCACTGTTCACCCGCAAGCAAATGGAGGATTTTTTTAGCGTTCGGCTAGAGCGAAGGAATGACGCCAAACGCTCGTTTGACGTTCGGTTGGAGATGCCCTTGGTATGGTAGCTATTGGTCAAAGAAATAGTCCATAGGACTTCTTCTCCTCAAATTGCTTCAATTTACATTTGGTTTCTGGAACAATTCCACAGATCAACCAGAAGCCTTGCATTGACTAAGATCTAGCTGACCAATACACGGATTTCTCTAGCTTCTTCTGCCTCGGCAATCCACCTGCTCTAACCAAGTTAAAGATGGTTTCTTTACTCTTCTACCGAGCCATGGCTTCTTCTTCTTCTCCTATGTTATTACTCTTCGCCTACCTCTTGCTCCCCACTGCAACATCCCTCTCCTTCAGTTTCCCCTATTTCAACTCGACCACGGTGCAGTTCATCGCCTTCCAAAACGACACCTTTTTGAACGGCGCCATCAGCCTCACCAAAAATGCGTACAACACCGACATCGGCTCAAGCGTCGGCAGAGCCTACTACAATGAACCCATCCCTCTCTACGACGCCGCCACAGGCGAGCTCGCCGACTTCACCACCAACTTCTCCTTCATCATCAACGCCTTCAACAAAACCTACTCTGGCGACGGGCTCGCCTTCTTCCTTTCCCCTTTTCCCTCCGTCGTGCCCCCCGACTCAGCCGGTGGCTCAATTGGCCTTGTTGAAAGAAACAACAGCCTCAACGAGTCGGCTAACCAAATCGTTGCCGTCGAATTCGACACTTTCCAGAACGCTTGGGATCCCAACGCCGACCACATCGGCATCGATGTCAACTCCATGAAGTCGGTGGCGACCGTCATGTGGAACAGCAGCATCAAGGATGGCCGGACTGCGAACGCCTGGATCAGCTACAACGCCACCACCAAGAATCTCAGCGTCTTCTTGAGTTACGATAAAAACCCAATCTTTGCGGGGAAGTCTAGCCTTCACCACATCGTTAACCTCAGCCAGATCCTCCCGGAGGAAATCGCCGTCGGATTTTCGGCTTCAACAGGGCTCTTTTCGGAGACCCACAGCATCCTCTCATGGGAGTTCAGTTCCACCCTCCTGCGTACTAGAAAGAAGAACAGAGTTGGTTTGATCGTAGGACTAACGGTTAGTACAGGATTGATCTTGGCGGCTGCAAGCTTCCTGTGTTATTTCCTATGGAGAAAGAAAAAAACTGGAAACTTGAAAGGAGAAGAACACTATGCTGACGATATTGACGACGGGGAGTTTGAGAAGGGGAGAGGGCCAAAGAAGTTCCCATTCGGAGACCTCGCAGCAGCGACGAAGAACTTCGCTGATGAGCTCAAGCTTGGAAAAGGTGGTTTCGGCAGTGTATACAGGGGATTCCTAGCCGAACCCAAGATCGAGGTAGCAATCAAACGGGTTTCAAAAGAATCGCAACAGGGGAAAAAAGAGTACATTTCTGAGGTCACGATCATCAGCCGACTCCGCCACCGAAACCTGGTGCAGCTCGTCGGATGGTGCCATGAGAGGAAGGAGCTCCTCCTCGTCTATGAGTTCATGCCCAACGGCAGCCTTGACTCCTATCTTTATGGCCGACATAGCAATAGATATCTGTCATGGCCTTTGAGGTACAAGATTGCCGTGGGGCTTGCAAGCGCTCTATTATACCTCCATGAGGAATGGGAGGAATGCGTAGTTCACCGCGACGTGAAGCCGAGCAATGTGATGCTCGACGGCGGCTTCAATGCAAAGCTCGGCGATTTCGGTTTGGCGAGGCTTGTCGACCACGAGCGGGGATCGCAGACGACGATTCTCGCAGGAACAATGGGATACCTGGCGCCGGAGATCGTCACGACCGGGAAGGCCAGCAAGGAAACCGACGTCTACAGCTTCGGAGTCGTGGCTCTCGAGCTCGCTTGCGGCCGACGACCCGTCGAGCCCAAGCGGACGGAAGAACAGGTTGGGCTAGTGTCGTGGGTGTGGAACCTGTATGGAAGAGGAGCCCTGCTTGAGGCCGCTGACGTGCGGTTGAACATGGAGTTCAACGAGGGGGAGATGACCAGGCTTATGATCATTGGGCTGTGGTGCTCGCACCCGGACAGTGCGGTGCGGCCATCAATAAGGCAGGCCATGGCCGCGCTTAAGCTCGAAGCTCCCCTGCCGGAGCTGCCGTCGAAGATGCCAGTGCCGACGTACTATGCGCCGCCGATGGAGAAGGGCATGCACACATACAGTTCGTCGTCGGTTACAGCATCGATGGGGGTGATGTCTATATCCAGTGATTACAATTACACCACCGGCTCGGATGCCGCGTCGTCGGCGACGATCGATTCGTTGTCGACAGTGAGCTTGTTGAAGTCGAAAAAATTCGATCTTTAGTTGAGATTTTATGTAAATATAGGGTTTTTAGCTGTTACACTGATTTGTTTTGTTAAATTGAAATCGATTTCTGAAATCACAGCTTCATGATTTTGAGAAGATGATAGTACAGTTAAGCTTCTAACTTTGTAAAAATTATTTGGTGTGGGGTTGGGACGGTTCTATATACTGTGTATAAATTGTATATATATTAATATATTATATACTCATATGTTCGAATAGTTTTTCCTTTGAAACTCACAGAATAATTTCTTCTAATTTTGTGAGCCACAAGCTAATGATGTTTTTCTAAAGAGTTTTTTTACAAAGGAGTGGACGATTACCTAAACTTTAAGTAAATGTAACAAAAAAATAGAAACTTTTTAGATATAAATATGTTTTAAAAACTGAAATTATATTATTTAAATTAGTATGAATTATAGCTTTTAAGCATTATTTTCTCACAGAAACAAATCCTTAAAGAATTATTTATTTTCATAAATTATTTATTTATGTATTTTAAGAAATATCTGAATATATTTATGTATTTATCCTTATTACTTGTCATTAATATTTATACGTAATAGGTATATATTTTGTTATCTAATATATATGAAGTGGATGGGGAAGCTAAACCACTTTATCATGTTCAAATAATTTAGTAATAACTATCATATTTTAGTAATATAAGTAATCGTCATAGATATGCTGCCATGCGCTCTAAAGTTATCATTTTCGTAGTATGTCGCAGTTCATTCTTTTCATTGTAGGAGCAAATCTAGTCTGACTTCACACCGACTTACATCATTGGGAGGAATCACCCTATTAAAATTAATGGGAATTTTAATGCTCGATGTACTAAAGCGTAGAATTATTCGAGTATTACGTCTCAATTCTTCGAACAATACTATTAATCTTATATATCGGTTGCGAAATAATGGTGGATCGTCAATAATGACATCTACGAGTTCATCTTAAGGTCATTTCCAACCGAACGCCAAACCAGCGTATGCCGTCCATCGGTCGCTCCAACCGAAGGCAAAAATTTCCGCCATTTACTTGCAGGTGAACAGTGCGATGCCAATATTGGCGTCGCACTGTTCACCCACGCCATTTTACTCTCTCAACCGGTAAAACGCGCGAAAGGGAGAAGATCGTTACCTTCTGAAAAACACCTAAAATGGCGTTCGATTAGAGCAGCACCACGCCATTTTCGAGTTATGCGTCATTTTGCCGTAAAATTTGGAGTTCTCCGTTGGAGATACCCTAAGCGAAACAATGAGGACCATGGTGGTTATTTACATTAAGCTTTCAGTGTTACCCGCAACCGATACGAATATGGAGGATTGCCCAACATTTAATTTTTTTGGAGTTGGGTCATCTTCTCATATTTACATATTAGTATTAGTTGATGGATAGCATTATTAATTTCTTTAAATAGGTCCAAAAATATACTTAGGCATATGAACTTATAATTAATGTTAATTTTCTTAAATAGACTAACCTACTTTAGAAAATGTTACAAATTAATTACTAAGGTGGCTGAATTTAATGCATATGAACTAATAATTACATGAAATTTTAATATATCAATTTAGCTAAAGAAAAAATAATATTTTTTAGTTATAACAAACATGATACTAAACTATTCTAAAATTTTTAAGTCAACCTAAAAAATTTAGACCTTAATTACTTCCAAATTAATTTGTGATTAAACAAAAAAATTTAATTAATATGTAACTTAATTAGTAATTATATAATTTACTAGTTACTTTCCCATTAATTAAAATTTTAATTGTTCTGATTAATTATTATTAAATTATTAATATTAATTTATTCGATTAATCTTATAAAGTTAACAAATAATTGAAATTTAATTAAATAAATTAGAAAAAAATAAAAATCTTGAAACAGTCGTCGTTCACAACTTTGTCATCCCCCTCATTGGCGATGAATAGAGCTCGGACATTGGCGATTAACAGAACTCGGGTAGAACTCGGGCACGGCAAATTATTAGATCCGGTCACCTGACCTAGAAATAGGTTCGAACATCAAATAAAAAACTTACCACGTGGACTGCATTTTGACTATGCTCTTTGACTACGCTTTAGGTGCCTTTGACTTCACTTTTTTGACTGTACGTGCTTTACCTGTGCTTTACCTGCATTTTACCTGCGCTTTTTTTATTCAAAGCGCAGACCACGTGAAAAATTTTTAGCGGATGTCCGGACCTAAAAATAGGTCAGGGAGTGAGAGCGAAGGGCGGTTATAAGCAGGAAAAAAGTCAAAAACTTTGGTGTGCACATATAAATTCGCTACTGTTTGACATTTTTTTTTCGTTTTGTGAAGAATAGGCAAAAACTGTTTGGCATTTTACTAAAAAAATCATTTTTTTTTTTGGGAAAATTTGGGGCGAGGCCCGTATATTGAATATACCAAAATTACAGAATTACAGATACAGAAAATGAGGCTAGAAAACTAGCCAAAACTATACCCAATAACCCTAATGAAAGAACCACAAAAAAGGAAAACGCAGGCAAAAGAAATTAAAAACAAAAACCAGGACTCAGTTAGCCTGGAGAATGCCCAAGGACAAACTAACATCAAAGCCAGAAAGCTCATAAGTCCAGTGCCAAGAGAAAACGTCGCAAAATTCTCCCCGGTTGCCAATGAAGAACAGCACCATAGTGGAGCGGGGTGCACGCAAAGCTGCCAGGCCAAACAAAATGCCACAGGTGAAAAGAACTCCAAAGGCCGTACAGAGGGAGAGGCACAAGGGCAGCTCTAGTCATCATCGTTCGATCACAAAAACCAATCCCAAAATATTCATGCATCCAAAAGCAGCACAAGTAATAGCCGTGAAACCATCTGCCAACCAAAAAGAGGGGGAAACCAACCCCAAACGCACGGTTTGAGCTGCAGCAAAACCAACCAGCAGAGATCCTATTCTCATGATTCAATTGATAGCAGCTATGTAAGTATCTCCTCCAACAAAACCACCGTCCAACAATAAAATGATGCTTAGGGGAATAAATTCTCTCAAAAAAGTCAATAATGAATCTCCAGCAAGCCCAACAGCCACCTAACCAACATCCAACCATCAAATAAAGCATTGAGGAAATGAAGTAGAAAGCAGATCCCTATTCTTCCTCCCAGACCATTTTCTAGAGATAGCCAAAACCAAGTTTCGGCACAAAACCTGAGTAGAGATATGAGATTCCGAGAATCTCCTATTATTCCGCTCTCTCCAAATAAAATAAACAGCAGCACAAATGATAGAAAAATAGAAATTCTTCTCCACCTTGTTATAAATGCATAGCTCATCAATAAACTCAAATAACTGCAGTATAGTAGGCCTAAACAAAAAGGAACCCAACACAGGAAGTAGATGCGTGATAACAACGAATGAGTAATTGCATTGGAAAAAAACATGGGAACCAGATTCTTCCCCAAACCGGCACAGAGGGCAGTTTGCATCAATATAAATATTTCTCCTAGCTAAGTTGTCAGCCAACTTAAGACCACCACGAATTAAAAGCCAAGAATAAGATGAAAATCTAAGAGCTGCCCTTTTGTGCCAGATAAAATGATGCCAGTTAACCTTTTGTCTCCCTTCGAAAAAATTCAATCTAAAAACTTTAAAATTAGGTTTATCAATACCAATCCAAGTAATGGAACCATAAGAATTGTCCCGCACAGGAGTTGCAAAAATACTATGCTGGACTTCAAGAGGGAGGAAGTCCGGCACAGCCCAAAACGAATTCCAGAACACCGAAATTGGCCCCAAGAGATCAGAGGAGTAGGGGACAATGTCAGCCAAAGAAGTGCCTTTCAACCATGGATCCCAATAAAAGGAAATTGTGCTGCAGTTTTCAACATTAACCGTGATATTCAGATGTCCTTTAAGCTTGTTAGCAACCCCACAAATAAATTTCCAATACTTTGAGCACTTATGAGGAGCAGGTTTAAAAGGGGAAGTAAATCTATGTCTATACCAATCAAAAACCAAAGAACAGGAATTAAAAAACCTCCAAATGAAAGAACCAGCAAAACCATGGGAAAGAGAGGCCAAGTCAGGGATACCCAAACCCCCAAAGCAGGTAGGAAGGCAAGTGTCATGCCATGCAATCAAGTGTAATTTTTTCCCCTCTTTATCTCCATGGAAAAGAAATCTAGAGCACATTCTATCAATAGATTTTCAACAAGACTTTGGTATTATAGCGCCCCTGATCCAATAAGCGATAGTGTTAGCAATAGTGAATCTCAAGAATTGCACTCGACCTGCAAAAAAAAGAAATTTTACTTTCCAACCAGCAAGTAGAGTAGAAATTCTACTCAGTAGTGGTTGGAAGTGAGAAGAATTAAGCTTTTTGGTGGAAATAGGCAAGCCCAAGTACTTGAAGGTATGCTCCACGGCGGAGAAACCAAGAATGTCCATGATGTCATTAGCAACAGTAAGGTTTTTGGAGAAGAGAATGGAGCACTTGTTGTTATTGATATGCAGCCCCGAAGCCAAAGCAAAGTTGTCTAAAATCTGAGCAAGCTCAATAGCATTAGGAATAGAGGCCAACCCAAAAACTAAGACATCATCAGCATAGAGAAGGTGCTCTTTTTCAAAATAAAAATCAAGTAGTGTCCTTTGACTAATATCCGTATGTCGTATTCTCCTTCTTTAAAAAATTCCTTTTTCTCAGGAGGAGAGAAATAGACTATATTTCTCGTGGAGTTTGACTAACCATCCAACCTCTTTATCCTTATCCATTCTTAGGCTTCGTTTGTTTTTTTGGTGCTATTGTAAAAGACAGTTTTAAAAAAGATTAGTTCAGAAAATGGAGTTTTCTAACGGATAAACATATATAAAAAGCTTTCTCAAAACTGTAGAAAAATGAAAAAAATGAGTTATTGGGAACGTGATTTGACGAACCAAACGACACCAAAAAAAAAAAATCCTCCGTTTCTAAACAGAAAAGGCAAAAAAACGCTAAAACAAATAAAGCCTTAGTCATATATAGAGGTAATGGTATCATTAAAGGCAATGATGGAAGTGAAATCAAGAAGAGCTAAGGGCGAGCAATTACACATCTTGAGATTCTTTTTTTCTTGGAAGAATAAATATTCTAACTATTTTATCCACCTTCAAAAAATGTACTTG